GGGCACCTTGGAGGGCCCAATCCTTCTCGGCTCGGTGCCATCAGCTTGATCCCGCTGCAGATGAGAGCTGTCAAGGCAGAAGCAAGAAAAAAGAAGGCAGTGGGGGAAGCAAGGAGGGAAAAGCAATGGCCATCAGTGCCGGCTCCTGGGGGAGTCAGCCAAGAGGAGCTTCGATGGCTGAGCTGGGAGCCCTGTCTGGGCAAGAAGGCAGCTGAGAAGAACTGTGATGGGCAAACCCATCCCTGTGCCCAGCTGCCTACTATGTACCCCAGGGAGCAGCACCAGCAACATGCTCTGCGCAGCCTGTGGTACCTTTGCCTTCAGGCGCAGTCATGATCCCACCACCCCACGCTTCACAGTGGGATTTTTGCCTCAAAAGGGAGGCTAAACACACGGCGGAGCCAGGCTTGGCTCACTATTCCCCTGTGCTGTGCTAGCAGGAAGGTGATGTGCAGGCTAGCATGGCCGCACACTGCACCCCAGGAGGTGACAGCACCCCAAGGAAGGTGGGACCTCATGGCCAGTCTCAAGCGAGCCGCATCTTGTAGCGCAGTCCGCACTGGGATTCTGTGTTAGCCCTGGTACACAGGGACAAATCCTCCTTCCACTCCACTCTCATCGTGTCCCATCAGCTCAGAGAGGACAGAGCCGTAGAAACGTTCAGAGGAGGCATTCGGACAGGATGGGGTGGGAAAGACGACAGGGGAGGCGACAGGACAGAGGGATGACATCTCACACGGACACAAGGCACAGGCTGCAGCTCACAGGCAGCTGCTGCCCCAAGCTGCCAAGAAGAGCTGGAAGAACCATTATGCAGCTCAGACTCTGGGGCCTTGGCTCTTTCTGTTGCGTACCACCACCCCAAAGTCTTGAGATGGTGGCTGCAGAGCCCACACACTCCAATAAGCAGCAGCACAGGGACTGGAGCCTGGCTGGGCACCTGGGACGTGGCAAGGGTGTCCCTGGCCCAGGGCTGGGCCACCATCCTCCTGTGGAGCTTCTCCCACCAGGCTAGGGAGCAGCGGGTCCGTAAAGAGACAGAAAAGGAGCTTACGGTACCTTGGATGGGAGCTGGAGTGAAGGATGAAGCGGTGGCCATGGAAGCATGAGAGATGGGCTGGGAAGGGCCCGGCGGAGGGGCTGGAGTGGAGTGAACGTGTGGGGTGGGGAGCTGGGAAAGATCTGGGGAGGACGACAAAAACACAGGGACACGAATCAACCCTGGGAGGTGCCAGTGAGGCATGACAGAGCCCATCAGAGGGGACCCAGCTCTCCCCAGCCTGATGGGACCTATTCTTCTCAGTGGCTCCTTCCACAACCCCTTTCTTGGCCACAGGTCCTGCTCCTCTTCTCCTGCCAGCATCCTCTGGGACACACTGCTGTAAATATCTTCCCCTATCTCCTATCCTGCCAGCACCCCCGGTCACCCCTTCCTCTATGAGGGACCCCACTGGGCCCCTTTTGCCTGGAAGCCCTGGGACTGCAGTGGCTGGAAAGCATCACCCACCATGAGGTGCCACCTAAACTTTCCTATGCACGCCCTCAGGGACTGCTCCATCCTTGCTCTCCCTCGCTGCCAAGCAAGGTGGCTGCTGCGGCAGGCAGTCTCGGGGGCTTGGCCAGGCAAAGTAGCTGCTCCAGCGATGGTGCCCGAGACCTGAGTGGCTCTGGGGAAAAAGAGGGATTTGACAAGGGGAACCAAGCCTAGATGTGGAGCTCCTCTGCCAGGAGCTGTGACACCAAGTGGTGAGGGACACTGGTGGTCTGGGTGCTGCGTGCTCATGGATGGTGTTGAGCACCCTGGATGCTGCTGTAAGCCCATGGATGAGTGCTGAGCACCCTGAGGGCTGCTGTGCTTCTGGATGGATGTGGAGGACTCTGAGTGCTGCTGTGTGCTCACAGCCGGGCTCAGGAACCAGCTCCCTGTGTAGACCCTGCACCCAGGGGGACGAGGGGACACAGGGGGTGACAAAGGAATGACTGCACAGAGTTGGACATTTAGGGGCTCATCCTGGGCAGGCAGAGGAGAGGGACTCAGGGGGACAGGGTGCCCAAGGTGCCATTGCTACCATGCCCTCTACCCACAGCCACATTGGAGGAGAAGGATGTTGAGAGTGCCTAAAACAGGAGGGGAGAGAAAGGGGACGGGAAAGGGAAGAGCTGGAGCATGTAGGAATGCTGGAAGATGGATAGTCCAAGGCTGGTAGAGAGGAGAGAGATGGCAAGAGATTTGGCAGAAGAGGAGGATAACCCGAAATCCAAGGCCAAAAATGCAGGGAAACAGGCTCCTACCAACACAGGAAAGCTGCTGGGCAAGAGGCTGGGTGTCGAGCACAGGAGTCAGGGCAGCACCACCACCAGCCAGGGACAGGCTGGAGAAACCCTCGCAGCCCCACACAGCTCTGCTCAACATGCGACACGTGGCGCTTGGATGCAGCAGGGCACAATGACAGCGAACGTGGCAGCAGAGCACAGCCGTGGCAGGGGGGAGGTGGCAAGGGGACTGCAGCATGCAGGGAAGCGGCGGGTGCTACCCCTTCCCATGCAAGGACAGGTATTGAGTGGTGATAGACTGTGGGGACACGGGATGCAATGCAAGCCTGCAGCTCCAGCAGCTCAGGGCAAGCCATGGGGCCTGTCTCCAGAAGCTTAGGACAGGGCTGCCAGGGCACCTCGTGGTTTGGAGGGGTCGGTGCTGTCTGGAAATCCTCCTTGGCTTATGATGGCGACGTGCAGAGGCTTCCTGCCTATGACAGGCTCAGGAGCACTGGTCTTTCCTCCTGCCCCAGAGACTCCAGCAGAGTCCTGCCTGCAGCCCCTGCAGTTCCCCCATCGCACCCTCTCCCACTCCACACTGGAGGCAACAGCGACTGAGCCCAGCCTGGGCTGTGCCATGTCCCTGCTCTGATCCCCCCCCAAACTGCTCTCTGCCCTTCTTGGCTCCAGGCAGCAGCCCTGCACAGTGCAGGGAAGGACTGGGGGGCTGGACGTGGCTGGAGGAACTGGAGATGCAGCGCTCTGCCAGCGAGTGTGCCAGGACCCAGCTGCATGCACGCACACACGCAGTGCCACAAAGACCCCCTCCCACCACAGCCTTCCCTGGATGTGCGCCACTTCACAGGGAGACACAGCCAGGACGGAGGTGATTGTGCCAACAAGCAGTTGCTGTGAGAAGCCGGGTGATGCCGGTGCCCTGCGGCCCCGCTTACCGCTGACATCGAGGTTGTACTTGGCCACGACGCTGCCCATGGAGCTGGTGGCCGTGCAGACGTAGGTGCCGCTGTCACTCTTGTTGAGGAAAGGGAAGATGAGGACGCTGTCCGAACTTAGCTGCAGGGGTGCGTCGCTGCCCTCCTTCTCCCACAGGAACTCCTGGGGGCTGCGGAGTGGAGTGGTGGTGAGGCACTGCTGTCCTCCCCAGCACCCTGGGTGGGCTGGGGCAGAGCGGAGTCCCTGGCCAGGCAGTGGAGGTGACGACGAAGGTGCGGGAGTATTCGAGCAGGAAGGAAATACCGCATTTAGGGATGAGCCAGGATGCATCTGCTGCTCCAGGGAGAGGACAGGGGCTTTGCCTATTCTCTGTGGGGTGCTTGGCCCTACCTGGCATCGATGCCAGGCCAGCGTGCGGCCCTGAGCCCACACAGCGCTACCTGCGATGCCCTGCCCGAGGCTCTAGGGAGGGCTAAGTGGTGGTTTTGAGAGCCTGGCAGTGGGAGGACGAGTTGGCCAGGGCCTGGCAGGGCTAAGTAGGAGAAAGGCAGGGGGGGTGGTGTCTTACATGGGGTTGCCCTGCCCATCACACTGTAGCTGGAGCTTCTCGCCTTCGCGTGGGTACTGGGGATGCGGCTCAATCTTCGCTGTTGGCTTGTCTGAAAAAGGAGGAGAGGCAGAGCTGGGTGACTGCGTGTCCCTGCCCTGCACTGTGCAGGGGCCTGCCGGGTAGCAGGAGATGGCACAGACAAGTCTCGGGGAGATGGGAACAGGCAGAACACAGGGGACAGGGACAGACAGGGGAAATCAAGGGCATGCACGCACAGGGGAAGTGTCACTGTGCCGTGTCCCTATGTGTGACAGGACTGCTGTGCATGCAGGTTGATGAGCCTGTATGCATGTGTGCGTGATGGCTCTATATACGTGTAAACGTAGGGCCATGTATGTGATGTCTGCTGAACTGTGGTGGTGCTGAGGCCTCCTACATCTCTCCCACCTCTCCATAGCCCTGTCCCCTTCCCCATGTGGCCCTGTCCCATCAACCCCATGCGCCACGTACAGTGGACCTGCAGCTTCTGCGTGGTCGACCTCTCGGAGTTCTGCAGGGACTCGTGGTCCACAGTGCAGGTCACCTCGGCTTCGTTGTCCTCCTTAGTGACGCGGAACTCCACCCGACTGCTCACGGTGAAGGTCTTTCCATTGGGGTCCTCCACCACCTCAGTACCCTCGTCTGTAGGGATGTGGGACAGTTAAAGAGCTGATGGACACAGTACCTCAGCAGAGGCATAGGGCTGATGTGCACGTTGAGCAGGGGACACCCTGTCCCTTCATTGGCAGTAGCATAGGATGCCAGTATGGTCCAGCACCGGGCACCGCTGCAACCTGTGGTGCCCCATCTGCCTCCATGGTGTCCCCCAGCCATCCCAGTCCCTCAGAGCAGAGCCCCACTGCTTGGGCACCCACCCTTCAGCTCCTTGTTGCCCTTCTTCCACCGGAGCTGGGCTGCGGGCTTGCTGCCAGAGGACCGGCAGGTCAGCCGGGCTATCTTCTCCTCATCAATGGGCTGCTCATGGCCAAAGATCTGGGGTTTCTGGGGGATTCCTGGTAGAGGAAGAGGCAAGAAATACAATAGCCTATTAGCTGTGTGCATACTGCCACCCAGAGACGGATGCACATACAGAGACACGTCAATAAACACAGCAAGAATGAGTTAATGGGTAAGGATGCAGGAGTAGCAGGGATGAACAGCTGTACAGACAGCATCTTACAGACAGGGCAGCAGGAGACTGGGAGCAGATCACGGGGCTGCCACCGGTGGCTTACCCAGCACAGTGACCAGGGCCTTCGCAGTCCGCACCGGCATTGTGAAGATGGAGCAGGTGTATTCCCCCTCATCTGACAGCACCACATCACTGATGCTGATGGTGAGCTCGTTGGGTGTGGACCTCTCCAGCTGGATCCTGTTATCTCGCAGGGCTGGGGAAAAAAGGAACAACAGGGTGAGTGACAGGCTCAGTACCACCACACCCCTCTGCTAGGTGGCATCACTGTAGGTGGGGAGTAAGAGGGAACATCACCCTCTGGGGCACCATCGGCCCTGATCCACTTTCCCTCTGCCTCAACGCCACTCCAGTTGTGGAAGCTGGCTCCTCTCCCCCAGGCAGTCCTTTTCCATCCCCAGCTCACGTGCATGTACCTCGTTTCTCCCCAAAGTAGAGGGTCTGCTGGGCAGGGTTGGACCATTGCAGCGAGGAGTCATCAGGATCCTCCACCTGGCACTTGAGCACCACTGTACCACCGGCCACCACAGTCTCGTCCGATGTTGTGGGCTGGCTCTCTGGACACAGACAGGAGAGGTTAGTGGGGGCCCAGGGCATCACCTCTCCCCAGGTGTGCACGAGCATCACTGAGCAACCAAGGGAAGAGAGAGAGGAACACAGCAGTGTCCTCAAAACCCCTGGGACAAGCAGGGCTCCAGTGCTGGGGTGACTACAGCTTGTATAGGACACAGATTTTTTTCCACCTGACCCCAAGCCCTGGATGGCCAGGCTACACAGACCGGGGTGGGGCGACTGGAGGGGACTGGCTCAGCTGCTCTGGGTGGCAGCATAGAGGGGCATGGGGAAGAGGAGCAGGTGCTGCCAGAGGTCTGGCTGGATCCAGGGAGATTGTCAGTGCAAGTGTATGCCAGTGCGCACATGTGTGTATCTGCGAGCATCTGTACAGCCCCTTGAGTATGGATGTGTGCGCACACACGTGTGCTTGTGGGTGCGTGTCCCTCTCTAGGGACAAGGGATTTCTATTGCATAGGCAGCGTGCTTGTAGCAGAGCCATCCCGTGCACCCTGGGGACAACAGGGACCTGCTCACAGGCACGTGTCACCCTGGGTCTCCCACTACGATCCCATTCCCCAGCAAGGAACGGCCCCGCTACAGCTGTGGAAGCAAGGACCAGTGGGCAGGATCCATCCTGCCGCCCCAACCTGCAGCACCAGCTGGGACAGCAGCTCCCAGTCTGGTGATGTCCCCAGGTGGTAGCTCCATGCCAACCTGCACAGAGACATCAGTGTCAGGCCTGGCTCCCAGCACAGCCCCTGGGGCTGCTGGAAGACACAGGCAGCTGATGCCTGCCAGGCATGAGTGGATCCAGGCAGGAGTGGGGGTACACCAGGAAGCAGCTGGAGAGCCTGGCACCAGCACAGGCTGAAGGCGGCTGGGGAGGCAGCAGTTCTGCTCCACTGCCCTGGCAGCGCCAGCAAGCCGGGGCTCACACCCATGGCGCCTCCGTGCCAAGCACCCCATGCAATGGGATGCTCCGCTGGCCATCTCCACCTCTGCCTCCAGCATCCACAGTCCATTGAGCATGGCCTGTGGGGTGCAGTCAGTGGCCTGCTCTCCATGTCACTCCTTAAGGGGATTTTCTCTTGCTCACGCTGCTCCTGGGCTGTGCACGTTCCTTCCCAGACTGCGTTTCCTCAGCTAAGACATCATCCTTTGCTTCCTTCAGGCTCCTCGGAAGGCTCCACGCTGCCAAGCAGCCCAAGGGCAGAGAAGAGCAGCAACGAGTAGCAACAGGATCAGATAACCCCCTGCCTGCCCCAAGGACAGCTATTTTGGGAAAGCCGATGTGCCAGTGAGCTGAGCTGCACAGGGAGAAGGGGGAGACCGGCTCGCCCAGCCTGGGGACTGCACACCCTCCTCACCCAGCTGGGTCCACAGGCAGCCACATGGAACATGGATGGTGCTGCTATTTGCATTTTCCTCATGTGCTGGGCATGGGGCTTCACAAATGTTGTCTTCTATCTCAGCTCAAGTTACTCATGTTTAGGCAGGGACTCGGCCTCAGGACCCTGGAGCCATGGGTGATTCTGCCTGTGTGCCTACACAGCCTGCAGTGCAGTCCTGATTTCACAGGCTTGTTTTCCTGCATGATATTCACTGCCTAGGAGAAGCTCCAGTTATTGGAAGGAGGGGTGAAAGCAGCTTCAGCTGAATTTCCCCATTTTCCACTCAGAATGGTGAAAGGAAATTTCCTCTTTTGCTTACACTGCAAATTCTCCAAAGCTATCGCAGGGAGGAGGAAGGAGCAAAGAGGTTTTGGAGGAGGGCAGGAGGACGAGGCAGTCGGGCTTCTCAGGGACCACTTGGCTTGTGTTAAACTCTAGAAAAGGCCAGTCTGGAAAGCATGTGAATCCCTCCCTGCCTACTCCCAGCAGCCATGATTACCAGAGATGCATCAAATTCAGATTAAAAATATTTCCAGGGTAAAGACTGTCTCTCCGGTCCCAGGAAACTCCTCATCACTAATGCTAATGTTTCATGCTTGCTGTTGAAGTTTTGCTCCTCTCCACCTGTCTGGGTTTGATGGCCAGCTCTTGGCCATTGCTACATTCCTGCCACAGTTGGCTGAAGAGTCTCTGGTTCACATCTCCTTCCCTGCAGGCGTTTACAGGTGGTGATCAAGCCTTCCCCGCACTCCAGCCAGCCGGAGCGCCCGAGCCTCCCTCCACAGCCCATCCCAGCTGCTGATCACAACCCAGGCTCTTCCCCAATGTGTCTCCAGTTTGCTCAAGGCCTGGGCACAGTGGGAGCTCCAGCGAGGACCACCAGGACCCCCCAATGCTGGGGATGGCACTGGTGAGTGGGATGCCCCCCCCCCCCCCCCCCCCCCCCGGCGCACCA